GTATATATATATATATATATATATATATATATATATACCACTGGGTAAACCACTAGTAACTTTGTGGAACACCCCATCTGTAGTGCATTCAGTAAAGAGTGCAGGTTTGAGGTAAGGCATACTTGACCAGGGAACACCAGCCACAGAATGGGATCCCATTATCAGTGGTTAAAACTAAGGTTTCTTAAATCAAAACATAAATGAAAGGAAGTGATAAGACTTATCTCAGTCAAAGGTAAATGAGCATGTATAGAATCACCATGGGAGGGAGACAATATCCATTTGAGGAAGATATATCCAGGTCATGCAGATAATGAGCAACGAAGGTATTGGGAGTAGTCCACATTCTGGCCTGAACGTTCTCTTCCAAAGTTGAAAACAAGCAGTCAAAGACATATCTATGTGATGAATTTGAAGAGAAGAAACATTGTGAAGATGGCAACCTTCCATGGATAAGTCAAAACACACCAGCCTAATGAGTTGATGAACCCAACCAGTAAGTGAGACAGGGGACAGATGATGGGAAACAGAAGGGTTCCAATGAATAAAAAGACAGAAACGTAAACTCCAAAAAGAAGCAGTACATGTCTCATAACACTTTAAGGAGTGAACCAGACAAAGATGCCAATCAGGATTGGAATGGGAGTACAGGTTGGAAATGGAAGGTGAGGGAATGGACATGAAAGCCAAACCACCTTCCTGAGCAACACAGGTCTTAGGGAGGAAGGACCAGTTAGAATAGAGGATGACATAGGAGAAACGGTAGAGGATGTGAGTAACAAAATGTCATGAATATCTGAATGGAGATATTCTCAAATCATAAAGGAACACATTGAGATCCAAATCAGGCAAATAAAATGGAAAATGCATGACTTGAAAGAAACAGAAAACCTCACTCGCTGGGTATGTACATCCTAGCGAGGGTAGGATGAGGATCATACCCTCTTCACCTCAAGTCCCAGAGTCAAAAGGGAACCTAACAATCAACCTCAGTAACTAAGAAGGACTGACTTTCTCAAATTGCAGAGGTCTTAGGAAGGAAAGCATGATCTGGATAAAGGACAAGGTGGGAGGAGTGGTACAAGGTCCTGGTAACATTGTGGGTGAAAATAACTGACCTACAATGCCCACAGGCCAGAAGGAGGAGGAGGAAATATGCCTTCAAATAGAGGTGAAACAGGGAACACATAGACAGAGGTTCGAACAGAAGTAAAGTGAGAGCATGATGGACCACAATAATGTCCCAGTTTGGGAGGGACAGTTGCCTTGGTGGCCAATGGAGCCAGAAGGAACAGATCAAGATGGAAAGGACAGGGAAGCAAAGACCCTGTGCAAATGGCAAAAATGGAAGGTATGTAATAACGCTGCCAAAAAACCCAAAATTGAGTAGACCGAAGAACCCCTATCAAAGATCCATGTGAGAAACTTGGAGATACAGGTAACTGTTGGGTGAGAAGCCTGGAAACCCCGAGTCAATGCCAGGAGCAACAAATGCTCCACTTGCATTGATAGGCAACCAAAGAAGAAGGGCCAATTGAACGGGCTAAATGTAAAGCTACCATGCGACAAAAACTGGAACTCCTCGCCAAGAACCAGACAAAAGACAGACAGAGATGAATGGAGCAGGATGGAGCACCTTTGACTGGAGTTGACAGAGAAGGTTGAGACAGAAAGGAAGAGGAAGGAGAGGGAAAATTTGCAGTTGGAGCAACTGAGGGTACCAAGGACCTTGCACAGAGTGGCATGGATGAGAGAGACCACCCAATGAAGTAAACAGATGGGAGGGTAAACATAAATAAACAGATGAGACCAATTATGGCTGAAGGCATCGACAGCCAAGGCTAGAGGATGGGGAACTGGGGGCCAAAACCGAAGTAATTTGTGATTGAGGGCAATGGCAAAGATATCAATATGGAGTGTACACAGATGCAGAAAGAGCCACTGAAAAGTAGCAGGATGCAGAGACCACTCTATAGGATAAATGCAATCTGGGAAGGAAAGATGATTGGCTACAAGACTGAAAGCACCTAGTACATGACATGCTACCAAATGAATTTGATATGTGTGAGCCCAATAAAGAAGATACACACAGTGCAAAAACACAGGGATCTTGACTTGGTACCACCTTGGTAATTGATATAAGGCACCACAGTATAACTGTCAGAATAGATCATAAACAGCTGACAAGAGAAAGAAAATGATCCACAGTCTGATGAACAGCCAGGAGTTTAAGAACACTGATGGGAGGGTAAACATAAAGGGACAGATGAGATCAATCCTGGCTGAAGGCATCAACACCCAAGGCTAGAGGATGGGGAACTGGGGGCCAAAACTGAAGTAATTTGTGATTGAGGGCAATGGCATGAATATGAGATGTACCTAGATGCAGACAGAGCCACCAAAAAATGGCAGGATGCAGGGACCACTCCATGGGATAAATGCAATCTGGTCGGGAAAGATGATCAGCTACAAGATTGAAAGCACCCAGTACATGACATGTCACCAAATGAATTCGATATGTGTAAGTCCAATAAAGAAAATACACAGTGCAAAAACACAGGGATCTGGACCTGGTACCACCTTGGTGATTGATATAAGTCACCACAGTAGAATGGATCATAAACAGCTGGCAAGAGAAAGAAAATGATCCAAAGCCTGATGAACAGCCACGAGTTTAAGGACACTGATGTGAAGAGAACTCTCCTCCACAGACCAACGACCCCAAACCACCTGGTTGATCCATCCAGTAATCTCAGCCCTGAAGGGATGCATCCATAAAAAGATGCAAGTCTGGCCATGGAGGAGGAAAAGGGACCACTGGCAACATTTGGGCCTGGTTCAACCACTAATGGAGATCGTCTACAAGGGATATAGAAGTATCCAAGGGATCCCAGGGGAGGTTCCATTGATCGTGAAGGATCCATTGAAGAAACTGCATATGGGCCCTGCCCAGGAGGTATGAGAGGGGTCATGGAGGACCACATCCACAAAAGTGTTAGACCCTCGCGAGCTGTAAGTGAGGGAACAGACAGGGTTTTCAAATGGCCCATTCAATAGAATGGAGCTGGAGAGGAGGAGGTTGAGCCCAACTGAGATGAGTCCCAAGCGAGAAGTGTAAACATTCTGATTGGGATGGGATAAATCAATGACAGGATGCCAGTCCCAAGTCTTCTTGGGAAGCACAAACAGGCAGGAGTAAAACCCCCATGAACCTGGTGGGGCTGGTTCAATATCCTGTTGTGCGATGAGGTCCTGGACCACCTCTGACAGATGCTGGCATGTCAAGGGATCCCAAGGAGAAGGGAAGGTAGTAGGAGCACTGGAGAAGGGAGAAAAAATGGATAACATATCCCTCCAAAAGAACTCTGTGCACCCAGACATTGGTAAGAAAAGGTCTCCACCAATGAGCAAAATTCAAGAGACGAGCCCCCACTGGGCCCAAACCGACAACATAGTCACCAGTACTGGTGTTGGTGGATCATGCATCATCAAATAAATCATCGAACCATGACACTGCGGGAGAGTGGGACACGAACAGATTAGAAAGAGGTAGGTTGGGGGATAGGAACTAGTGCCACACTCGGCCCCAACTGTGACAAACAAGCTACCAAGTTAGTAAGGGTAGAATGTTGATGGGCTGAGTCCAGCCATAACTCCAAAGACTCAGAAACCAAGTCAAACACATAATGCCACAAAAATGGTGCCATGCGGAGGTCCCTCAGATAAGGACACTGGAGATAGTTCCGTGCCCAAGAAGACACGACAACAAACAAACTGCGTTTGAAGCGCGAGAGCCAAAGACAACAGACAAGCCAATGCAGAAGTAAGGACGAAAAGGATTTCAGCAGGAAACCTCTCAGAGTTCCTGTGAAGGGACTCTCACAGAAGTTGAGAGGAGGAAAGATACCTTAACAGGGTTGTGAGGGTGAGACAAAGGCGAGAAAAATGGGGTTGGGTAAGTTGGACAGGGTAATTTGGGTCTGCTCCCCCCCCAAACAAAACAGGTATAACTGACCCCAACAACTGTTGTTGGCGAAAGGGAAAGTCTGCATGATGATAAGCAAGGGCAGACTGATATTAGTGAGATATGTTAAGATATTTTAACTTATTTTCTCTAGAGAAAAGAATAGAGAGGTTCTCTTATTGAAGATTATTCATGGGATCAATAGCATTCAGGCCTCTGAGAAGACAAAAACCTGGAAAAGACAGGCTACATTCCAGTTAAACAGTTTATTTTTCTAACAGGGAGATTGACTTATTGAATGAGTTGCTGTTGGCAGTAGTTGAGGCCAGCTTTTTACAAGAGTTTATGAGTGGAATCAATGATTACTTTAGAAGTAAAAGGTGGTTTTTTAATTTTCCCAAAAGATATCCTTGAAAGACCAAAAGGTCTTTAGTTATCTATAGGTTATGTTGTTATAAAAGTAAAAGTAATGCAAACTTGAAGTTTAATACTTAAAACAGTTAAGTAGTCCCACTACCGATTTGAAGATCTGAGCAAGAATTAATACACTTATTGGCCAACCTATCCTGCAAAAGGTCAAGATTTTCAGTCTTCAATACATGGTGGTGATTAAACATTCCAGCTATTCACTGAAGTTTTTAAAACTATTAATGTACATTCTACTGCAGCAATTTCAGTGTATTTCTATACCATTATAAAAAAAAATCAAACCTGTCCCTATATGTACCAACATGTGGTTAGCTGGTTCTCAGGAATTGTGAGAACATCAACCCACATGGCACTTTATTGAGGGGCACAAAAAATTAAAATACAATAATTAAACATATCTAAGGGTTTAAAATTGAATTGCCTTATTGAATATATTGCATTATAATACATCATCACCTACACTTTTGGCTGGCCTGTTAGCAATTTCACAACCAGCCAATTCCTCTCTTGAACTTTGAAGGTATGGCAGTAACCAGTACTTCAGTCAATTTCACTGTTTCACCCTTACATGTGCGTAAGAAAGTAAAAAAAAAGAAATAACACTGAACTAAGTTATACTGTGCACCTTTTGTTACAGAGAAACACAAGATAATTTTCATTCTATATTTGAAGACATTCTGAAACTTTCTAGCTTTCACAAAAACAAGAAATGCTACATGCTAGCCTCTGCCTATGTTTTGAAACTTTATACACCATTTTAACGAAAAAAGGAAGCTTTCCTGAGTTTATTTCATACTGAACAGGCAGAAAAACTATGTAAAGTTACCATTTTCCTTAATTGAAAATGTTTTTCCTATAGATACTTCCATACACAGATAGCTATTTTCCTCTTGAAGTCATGCTATATGCCTGAGACTTGCATGACACCAGCCTTGTAGAAACTCCTACCTAAAATTCATCTCAAAACACATGAATTTGCACTACTGCATGACATATAATGCAGCTAAACCCTCCACCTATAGGAATGCAACACACCTCCATCCACAAATTCTTCCTCTACATTTGTACTAGCCATCCCTAATTTTGAAGTAATAGACTAGAATAAAAGCAGCTAGTCAACACCACCAACCCCTGGGTTACTGTAATCAGACCATATAGTGGGATTTAACCTACATTTGTATCTGGCATCAATGACCCAAAATATGTGGTGTGATTTGTTTTAGCAGTAAGAGGACATGAGCCACAGAATCTCAGGTCAACAGTCCAGCATGCTAAACCTTTGGGCTACAGTTTAATCGACTTGTGCATTTTGACTAATGTGATTCTGAGAATGTTTATCATATAAATAAAAGTATGCATGTGAAGCACTCATACATTGATTTTGATTTACCCTATCAATACAGGCAGCTAGTGGGCAGAGGGTACATCATCACATTTCTAGCCTTACATTCAAAATTGTATTGAACTGCTATTTTATGAATGTATGTCAATAAACTTTCTATCAAATTATAGATTTTAATTCAAATTTTAGTATTATACACAAGTTAATTTCTTAGTTTGAAAGTAAATATAAAAATATAATTGCTAAATATTGATTTTTGTGTGTCACACGGGTACATCTTCTTCTGGGATTGGTCAGATTACATTTTATGGCACCCAGAATACAATGTCTATAGTTTCAAGCAAATTATAAACTCAAAATTTCAATGCTGGAAAGGTAGAATATAGAATAAGAACCTCTTACCTTTTCTATCGGCTTAGATATCATAATATTTATTGAATCCACCATATTGGCTCTGCCCACCACTTCATCATTTGAGAAGACTTGTTTATTTACACACCTGCTTTTTTTATACTCACAGGTTAATAACCAATCACAAGCTCTATATTTCCTCTATATAATTCTGTTAGTCTTTGTAAGTTATTTAAAAGAAAAAAGCTCTTTTATTGTTGGAGAGTTTGAAGTATTATGACCAATGCTATATTCAAAACAGAAAAAAAATGTTTAGACCCAAATACTGCATAGTTAGCAAGCCTGGTAAATTACAATAGTTTTTGTTGTATTGGTATAATCAATTATAATTTTTTTATATTCAAAAATGCATATATAAAGTAAGAAAATAATAATTTTTTTCAACATGGACATCTGAATTTGGACAAGGCTTACAATGAGAGTTAGCAAGTACAACTCATGAGTGCAAAAAAGAATGTCAAAACAATGCAACTACTAGAGATCATTGTTTTGTGAATATTTTTTTATTTACTGTTATATGTTTCAAGAAAAATAACTGAAAGTAAAATATTTATATTTATATAATATTAATATATATGTACCTTAGAAAATAGTAGAAACAATTCATTTATTGATTACTGTCTAAGCATGGTAAAATAGGAAACAGGATGTTCATAAGCACTTTCACACCTATATTACCACTAAATCCCAACCGTCCAAGTTTATTGGATCGGATACACCTATGTACAGGGCCGTATCATAAATATTTTCTCTCACTTTTATATAGTTCTTTAGACAATTCTTGTTGCAACTATTGTACTGTGTAAACAAGCCGGTAAATCCTACCCCACTGTATTTTCAGAGCTTACTGACTAACATTCAAATAGCTAACAAGTTTAATGGGTTGGCCCAGACTTTCTACAAAGCTGTAACATAAGCATTTTATAATACTTTAGACAATTCTTGTTGTAACCATTATACTGTCAACAAGATGATAAAACTTACCTTACTGTGTTTTCAAAGCAGGGAAAGTTCTGGGAACTGTGTTTCAAAACCTTATTTGATATTGATGGTGTCAAAATACTCAAAGTACAGTAACTCCTAAACAGGAATGGTGATTCATTGCCTTATCATTACTGGACTTTTAACTTAGTCCAATGTTAACCACACAACATTGCCACCTATGGATTTGTACAACCAACACTTCTATAACACAGGTAAATAATTCAAAAAAAAATGTTTTAGAGTAAAAAAAAAAGAATAAATTAATATTGTTGCTCTCTGCTTTTTTCTAGCAGAAATCATGCTTAATTAATACATTAGATGAACATGAACAATTTAAACAATATTTACCGATGTTCATTCCATCATAATCTTCAGATTACAGATTTTTCACATGTGGAAAATTAACCCGCACACTTAATCTTCTTTACCTATGTATGACAATTCTGGTGTATGCAGACATACTATTCACTAACCAGTATTTGTGATCTTCACAGCATACATGTGACTACTGTACCATATTGCCGTTTTTCTGCTTCAGAGTAAAAATGAGAACAAAAAGTTCTCTATGGCAATACACATATAAATGTGTTGCAGGTATGTGTCAGTGAAGTTAGGTTAGGCACACCTGGCTCCTAGATCTGAAAATATTTGTTGAGGCCTGACATAGAACATTTATGGTCAGCATGATGTTGCTTAGAAATGAGACACTCAGGACTTCACTGACACATACCTCGACAAATATTTTCAACTCTATGAGTCAGGTGTGCTTAACCTAACTTCTCTACAGTTTGTACCGAGTGTCACAATTATCCGCAGTTTTTCTTTTCCCAAAATTTTCTCAAAATAATTCTCCCATTACAATTCTAGACAATAATTTGCATGTTTTTCAGAAATTGTCACTCAGAAAATGATTGCAAAAGTTGAGGTGTTGCAAGATATCTAGGATTTTTGCATGCAGGATCTGACATTCATTCAAATCATAAGTCGGCCAGTTCAAGCCTAGCTTTACCTCTTTTATTTTTAGCTGTTAAGACAGGAAAGAAAATATTTGTAGCTTGGTCAACTTTATTTTATTAGGGATTAAAAACATAGTATACAAAAATACACATTAAGATTTCACTCAACTTCAGTTGTTGTCCACTCTTTTATGCTGCACAGCACGCACCCTTTAACCACAGATTCATGTTCAGGTTGTGTTGGGGTGTTGCCCAGTTACATATTGTCCTCTTCCCTACAGATAATTGGTATCTTCAATCTGTTTTAACAAAGGCTTTTTCATAATAATCCCTAAGCATAGATTTGCACTAATTTTTGCCTAATTTTTCACAGGTGTTGATAGGGTGCAAATGCACTTCCATGTCTATAGCAGAAAAAGTGCAAAAACTTAGGAGTTATTTATGTTTATGTTAGGAATTAAATTCAACTAAAACAGAAACAGGCAATCAAAAGAGGTAATATTATAGGAGAAAAATACCAGTGTCATTAAAATTCTAGAAACAAAGTTTGATTTCAAACTTAAAAATAGTTCTGATTTTTCAAGAGTCCAGAATTGTTCTAGATTCACGTTCTATTTGGCACAGTCCTATGCATGAATAAAATGGGAGAAAACACTAGGTGCCACGATGAAATTTTTAGTCACCATGGTCATCTGGTGCCTGGGATTTGTCTAGGCCTCTTCTAGACCAATTACATATACTTTTCTATTGGTTAAAACTGGGTGGAAAACGTAAATATTGTTAACATATTTCATCCCAAAATTCAACTTTATAGCTTTGAAAGTAAGGCTACAACTCTCTTTTGGCCACATATCTTACAGCCACCTGGGATACAGATCCTAATCGTTAAAACATATTTTTCACTCTCAGCTTTAGGTCAATGTCACCACTCCAGCCATACATAAGAATGTGTTATACATTTGGGTGGCATCTCCTCTTTTTTAACAGCTAGTATTCACATATTTTGTCAAATGTCAAATTCCCATTTGTGTTCTCTAAGATGATACATGACTGTTGCAATGACATCACAGCACAATTCTCAAAATTTCTGTTTTCTTGATATTTTGTGACATCAACACCTCTCTTAACAAGAAGGCTCCTGGGTAATTCCAAGTACATCACATAAGAGGCACAATGATAAACCCACAAAAAGGATGTGGGTAGTATCAAACTTTTCAGCATTGTCTACCAACTGCAGCGCATCCAAAGGCTTCAGAAGTTCTGGATGCTGACATTGGCAACAGATCATACAGAATGCCCATGGGATTGCAACATAACCATAATAAGTTACCCCATTTTTTATACCAGTGTCCTCAAGCTCAGCTAATCATCACAAAAACAACTAACATTATCAGTAGTTCTGAATGGACCAAACTCAAATTCAGTCATCTTGGTGGATGGAAAGAGTATAATGCTCTGGAATGCTAGTGAAGTGCTGGAGAGCATTCAACATTCTACAGTAATGTTCTCAGAGTTAATAGTGAAACATCTGATTTCACTTTCAAGTCAATAATTTGGCTCTCCTCCCCTCTGTCAGAATGCAGAACTATCCCTCTAAACAGTATATTTCCATGATCAGATCCTGCTATGGAAAGTAACACCTGAGCTGAATTCAGCATATAACCACAACCAGGTTTTTTAGGTTCCAAATTTGGGCTTTACAAAAACAAAAACAAATTTTTAATACAAAAAAAACACCAAAAAACACTACACAAGAGCAAGATATGTAGCATTTGCATATTATAATGTATAAGATATTAATGAAATAAAAAGAACCACAGTGTCGTACAACACCCTATGATGGTGTATATCTCTCATTTGAAAGATAAATTAAATATGTTGTTTTTAGTTTAATAATTGACTACAAGATTTTAATGCAATAACATTGCTACATCTTGCATTGACATGTAAACAAACCAGGTATTTTAAAGTTGAAGAAAAACTTGTAGAAAAATTATCATTATTGCATATACTTGGTATGAAAAATCTAAAATTCAAAACATGGTCAATAACTGCAATAAGACATAGCATGATTACTGTTGAATTAAATAACAGTCTTGTTTTCTAAGCTAGAAGTTATAATTTTCCTATACTGAAAATGTGTTGCTGCTAGGTTCTTCCCTCCACTTACAAGATTAGCTATTCTTGTCCAGTTCTGCCATCTATATGGAAATTTGTTTCTTTACACTTGCCACAAGCTTTTTGCTCCCCTCTATTGGAATCGAAAGATTCCAACATGTCTCTCACGTAAATCATCATGCATCACTTCTCCACCAATAGGAGCATGACATACGTGACGCATGTGATTCCGTCTATACGCCTCTACCAAATTATCATTTTGAGGTTTGGTAGAAAATGTAAGCACTGGAGGAAAGTGGGGACGAAGAGTGGGAAGTGTGAGAGGAGAGAAGTACCTATTGGAAATACATTTTCAGTATAGGAAATTATAACTTCTCACAAGATTAGCTAGAATCCCATAGTGATTAGGTGGTGAGACTGGTGCAAGGTAATAAGTGCCCCCCAAAAGCATCTGAAGGATACCCCTGGAAATGAGAGAGTCAGATCCAAGGATCTGATGAGGGGAACCACACTACTTCTAAACCAGGTATACTATTTGCCCATCCATGAAAAGTGTAGTAGATAAGGGCAGAAAAAGATAGGAGCACATTCAAGTGGGATAAAACCATGGCAACATAACCAAGTAAATATATATGCAACTCAATTCCACAAAGTATAAAAGTGGGTAAAACAATGAATGTGCCCCTAGGTGTAGAGTGGCTAGGGTGAGATGGATCATATACATTGAATACCCATGCTGCTAGTAACTGACATCCACATGGTGGTAGGATGAGAATCATACCATCTTCACCTCAAGTTCAATAGACTGGGACAGAATCTAGAGCCACTCCGACTCCTGAGCATGACATGTGTTAGCTTTGATCTATCGATCCAGGGATCTGAAATCCAGTATTGAAAGGATGTCATTATAATATAAATCAACTCCTCCAACAGCAAAACTGATCAGAACCATCCAAAAAGCGATAACATCTTCAGAATAAGATACAATGAGGGATAGCAAAAAGAACTAGAACAATCCCCCTTACCTCCACTGTGACCTACAACACAGAAGGAGTATGATCGAGGGAGGAATATAGACAACGATAACATGTGTTAGGACTTCTGTTGACTGTTTCTACTCTAAATCCAAAACCCAGCCATGGGGTACCGACATCCATGCGGGGGTAGGATGAGGGCTCCTAATCAAAGGGGTGATCTGCAATTTGACACCTCACCTCGTTGTGGATGTATATTGCATATTGGAGGATAGCACATCATCTACACCCATAGAACACCACTGCCCTTCTCTGCACTGAATGGTTATAGCCATCTTTGTGTGGAAACCATTCAGGAGGGTGGCTCTACTGTCAACCACCCCAGCAGCTCATAACTGGAACTCCCATACTGCACTAGAAGAAAGGAGTGTGAGAACGAGGTGGAGAGCCCGGAGGAACATCATCACTTGAGACAGTGCAACAGGTGACCACAAAACACTATTTTGAAAAGCAGAGCATATCAATTTATTCACTACAAAGCATGGCAGAGATGGGCAGCTATCCCCTTCTGCTTTACCCAAGCAGTCCGGAACAGGCAAGTTTATGAAGCAATTGCATCACAAGGTTATTTATCTACAAGCAACCTTGTGGAACACCCCATCTCAACAGTAAGCATTGTGAAGCCATGGAAGATGAAGCGCGAGTCAACATGGCTGTACAGTGCAGATTTCAAGTTGAAGAATCCCTGGTCATGCACCATCCACCACAGAGTGGGATCCATATAACAAGGAAATGCAGCAAGAGCACCTGAAAGAAAAAGAAAAGTATGAATATAAACTTACCTAGTCAAAGTCACACTGAAGCTTAAAGAATTGCCACAGGTGGCAAACGAAAACCTAACAAGGAAGAAACCTTGATATCATGTAAATAATGGGAGACAAACATATTAGGTGTAGTCCACATGCCTGACTGTAGAATTTCCTCCAATGGCTGACAAAGACGAGATGCGAGGTAAAAGGTGAAGTGTTGAATCTGATGAGAAAACACATGCAACAAATCCCAGGAGAAAGAAAACAAGGTGGAATGAGCCAACTGAATCAAATGTCAAACCCAATTGGCGTGGGTAAAAGGGGAAAGATCCCAAACAGAGGAAGAGTGCAAAAGGATAGAGTCGGGAATGGGTACCACAGAAGGAAGCTATGTAGGCAGTATAACAACGAAGAGTAGAAACCAGATATAGAAGTATATCCGGATCAGGACAAAGGTAGAGATGAGAAATAGAAGGAAGGGAAACAGGCAAAAAGGAGTTGTTGCCCTCCCTAGCTGCCAAGGTCTTTGGGAGGAAGGAATGATCCAGATAAAGGAGAAGATAGGGAGGATGGTAAAGCATATATGAAACATCAATGGCAAACAAATCAGACATTCAATGTTCACAGGCTAAGAGGAAATGGAAAAACATTGAAGGTAAAGGTAAAACATGAAACACAAGGAAAGTGGTTCAAACAGAGGTAAAGGAATGGAGGACCACATCAATATTCCAGTCTGGAAGAGTATGCTACCACCAAAGAATTGTTGGAATGAATCCTCACCAGACAATGTCTGGCGAGAGGAAGGAAGTTATTCAATGCCCGACTGACTGCAAGAAGCTCAAGGACATTGATATGCAAAGACCTTTCATCTACAGACCAATGGCACAAAGCCTCCTGGGAATTGACCCATGCACCCCAGCCCTGAATGGATGCATCTATGAAAAATGTAAATCTGGAGGAGGAGGCGGGATTCCTGCCGACCTATGGGTCTTGTCCAACCCCCAATGCAAATTGTCCATTATGGTAAAATAAAGGGTAACAGGAGCTGACAAGGGATCTAGAGCAAGGTTCCATTGATTGAAAAGAACCCACTGAAGAGATCTATGTGCACAACCATGGGAGACCAGTGGCATCATTGAAGACCCCATCCCCAAGAGAGATAGAATCTCACAAGCAGAAAGTGAGGGAGCTGAAAGGGTGGGAAAAAGACACCCAAGTGAACAAAATA